CCATTCGATTCATAGCCAACAACGCATACATAAACAGGTACACATACGCGCTAACGCATTTTGCTCCAATTATATTCGATCTGGTTTTAAATGAATGTTCGTGCGTATGAGTGGTGCACCCAACCTCTTCGCATAAACACACATCTATGTATAATGTATTTGCAGTCACTTCGGCTATGGTTATGATATCAATACGTTGATGTCCGCTTCATTCGTCTCTTCAAGAGTATCTATCTTTGTTATGTAGTAACGTACTATTATGCTATATGGAATATATACAGAGGTATAAAAACTTATTTGAGATTGATCTATCCAAAATAAAAACCAGGTTGGGTTGTTTCTTTCGCAAACCAAAAACAAACGTTTGTACAGCGTATGTAGCGTCTAGCTTTGTAACGACTTATCAAAAGTGTTTTTTTTTTTTTTTTTTTTTTTTTTTTTGTGGTCTTCTTGTCGATGTAGCATGTTGTTGGTTTTTTGTTCTATCGTTAGCTAACATGCTTATAGTACATATGCCCAACATGCACGCATGCAATTCATATGTAATCGAGATTGTCTATTTACATACTCACTAAGCCAGCCTAGTGCAGTTCAGTCCAGTCCAGTCCAGTCACTCATTCAAATTCGTATAGAATATGCGTGCAAAATTTGTCAATTGCAATTTCAATTTCAACCCATTTGAAAATTGAGATTCTCAACGAAGTCTAACGGCGAAGGCGAAAATTGCGAAAAGAATATGAAAAGCAAAATACGAATAAATAAGATTAATGACGTCGCAGCAGAGATTTGTGTCATGCATGCATTTAATGAAAGTAAAACTTCTGTTATTTACATGTTACATGAACGTCCATACGGTCATTCATTCTACTGTGGGGAGGAATTTATGTCGACATGTTTTAAAACATGAAACTTTATTTTGAACTCATAATTTTGAAGTTTGCAAAACAGGGCAACGATTAAAATTTACGTAATTATGCATGCATGTGTTTAGAAAGGCTTAAATCTTAGCGAAAGAGACTATCATACGAATAATAATATTATATATTGGTCAATAAGTCCCGGGACTAAAGTAAATTCAATGCGACTCTCTTGAATTTCTTTTTATATACAGATTCGTCAGAACGCTCAAAATGCATTCATTCATTAAATTCTAAATCTTTATCCCTTGGACATACTTTAGAGTTTTACAAGCCGATCACAGTCGCTACAAGACCAATTTGGAAATCTGGGTATTGTTCTGCGATAATGTGTATTGCTTCTCCTGTGAGTCAATGCGGCACACATTTAGAAAACATATTTCTTTTACCTAAATTTTTGTATGCCAAAGACCCTACCCTTGGGGATCTTTGCGATCTTTGTTATCTGTCACAAATTCAGTTTTCAGTTACCCAGAATATATATCAAGATATTTTCGATATTTTTTGATATTGACCGTTTCTTTTTTATGGCATCATTCTCGTCAGTGTACATGCGACCTCGTTTAAAAGTCGGCAAATCACCAATAAATTGCTGTTTTCGATGGGGAATGGTTGTTATGATGCCTTTCAAGCTAATGCTGACTTTAAGGAGTATTTTTTCCTGTCAAAAAGCAATGTGTAATCAAGGCACGAGATTAGGAATTTCCTATTCTTTTGAGAATAACGAAAATAGCGTCATTAAAACCACTGAAATTGACAAACGCATTATCGAAGTATTATAATATATTGATAGGGATCCTTTGAAGTTATGCAATCTCTAGAAATAATATGTCTTTTGTTTTTTTAATTTTTGGGAAACGAGATCTACGTGTCAGTACCAGCAATTGTTGACCGATCTGTCATGAAGACTAATTTATGACGATTTCCGAAATCTGCCTATGATTTTCGCGAAAACAAAAAAATATTCAATATTTTCAAATTTATTCTATTTTTCTCGTAAAAGGTCGACCCTTTTCACCGTCACTTTATCATAATTGCCTTGTGCTATTGTGTGACCTTTGTGCATGTGGTAGCTTACTCACAGACCTGACGTGCTTAAAACACAAGAATGGAATATAATCAAACATTTGAAGAGGAAAAATTTAGTGCTCTTGCTCAATAAATATTGAAAACATATTAAAGTTTCTTCTCAACGAGTTACTTTGCCCGGCGTTAGGGATGCTGACCCGAAACAATATCTGCATATACGGCACAAGCATGATTCAAAAAATTAAGTGAATTTCCGATTTAAAAATAAGAAAGCTTCGAATTGAATGTAAACTTTTTTTATGGGATGACACGACTGTCTGATTAACATCCGACAGCAGTTTTAGGTCATTCAGTTTCTTAATATTTCAATCGAAACTTCTTTTATAATTATTACAAATCATTGCCGTACGAATAACTAAATGAATAAATTTATTCAAAACGAATGAATTGGAATTGGATGTGGTAAGTTTTTTGGCTCTTTTAGTGTCCTGCCGTCAAATATGGCGAGCAGTTGCTATGATGCGACAGGGCCTACCATTACATAGTCTACACCACTTTGCGCATTGCAGTTATTCATATAATGACTTTTCAAAATAAGGGTTTATATGAAAGTGGGCGAAAAAGTCGTCCCATCGGTTGCATCTTCAGTAGCATGCGCCCGTTGGGAGACAACATGTCGGTGTACCGAATTTCATCGAAATATCTCAAACATTGTAGGTTGAAGCCAAAACGGACAGATGGGCAAACAAGCTTAGATCGATTCAAGACGGGATTGTGAACCGATGAATACAATAAAAGGTGGGTCACTCTCAACACCTTCCAGGTGCATCTTAAGCGATGAATATATAAAGATCATCACTTTTGAAGCGAAGCAAATTCAGTTGCTTATGACACACATTTATGTCCATAAAAATTAAGATTTTCGTGTGCTTTACGATCTACGGGGATGTAATTGGACCGTTTTTTTGCAAATGGTATTGCAGTTACCATTAACGGACAATGCTACCAGAAATCTGTTTACTCACATGAATTAGATGATTTCGACTTGAATGATGTGTGTTTTTAAGAATATGGCTCAACAAGCCATACATTGCATAGCATAATCAGTTTATATAGAGAAAATTTCAATGAGCATGTAATCGCCAAAAATATCGGTATGAACTGTCGCGAAGCTAGTGGAACATAATACCTCTGAACATTTTTCATTGGACATATCTTAAGTCATTGGTTTACTCCAATAAGCCACAACTCTCCAATAAACCTCAACTAAAATTGAAAATTGAGATATGATGAAGCAGCATCAACATAAGCGTCCAAAAGTGTTTGATGGGATTTGGCAGTAGACAAACAACAACAAAAATCAACAAATGAAATGAGTGTTGTAATGAGTGTTGAAAATGCAATTTTGAGTGTCTGTATACGCTGAACAACTCAATAATGCTAAATAGAAAATTATTATATTATCTAGGAAAAGGTCAAGGTCGTCGAATTTGTGTACATTGATGATTCGCATTAATTTATCGTTGTTGCCAGTAGATGCCGCGGATCAAAATACATGCAAGCACCTATTAATTTAATTGATAGGTCTGAGCGAATGCGTAACAAACTCGGCCGATTTTAAAATTTTATGCATTGATTTGGAAGAACAAATCTGTGATAATCAAGACTAAGCATAGAAAAATTTCATTATGCGCATATACGGTCCGATAAACAAGAAGTTATAACAATGGTTTGTGATCAGCTTCTGCTAAAGATTGCAAGCACAAGTAATTTGTTTAAAAGAAAATATTCGTAATCGTTGGCGATTTCTTTAAATGATCACATTCCCCTATCAAATAGAAACAATGCATTGCCTAAAATGTTGCATAGGCATAGAAGCTCAAAATAATTTAGTTGTGTTAGAAAAAAAAAAACACAAAAAAAAAAAAAGAGAAAAAACAGAAACTTGGTAAGGCAGCCTTCAACTTCGCTAAAACAAAGCACTTAAATTTGTTTTAAATTAGTAGATGCATCTACTTATTAATTTAATTTAATTTGTTAAGTGAATAACAGTATGGGTATCTGTATTGTACTTAAAGTGAGAGGTTTTGATTTTAAGCGCTCTTCTTGACTGGATTATATCATTGCAAAGTGACGGGTTAATTTTTATGATGATTTTTTGTTTTTTTTGTTTTGTTGGTTTTTGGATTTGATGTATTTTGCTGTTAAAGAGTTTTAATGATTTTACTTTTTTTTTATTAGTTTGAAATCATATTCAAGGAGAGATAAATTTGAGGAACGAAGAAAAAAAAAAAAAAAAAAAAAAAAAGAAAAAAAAAAAAAAAAAAAAAAAAAAATTTATGTTTATAAAAAAAAAAGAATTATAATAAATAAATTAAAATATTTTAAAAAAAAAAAAAAAAAAAAAAAAAAAAAAACCAAAACTACAGACACATAAACGGATGCTTGATTAACACTTAAGCATTTGTTTATTTGTTAATTTTATTTAAATTAACTTTATTTTATAAAGTAAATGATAAAAAGTTTAACAAAATACATTTGAAACGTTTTATTTGTTTATGAAATGATTATTTTTGTAGTTGTCTTTATAACAGATTTGCAAACATAATAATTAAAATTTCAAACTATTTTATTTACATATAATATATGATTAAATATACACAATCTCATACCTATATACTTACGGTATATACGGTATGCGCATGCGCATAACTATAATAGGGTTTAGATGAGTAGAAGGCTTATGTATCTCCACGCAGAGATATACGCGCTCTCTGAACAGAATCTGTTTCTTTAATGTACTTACAACTATGTCGTATAATAAATAATAATGAAATATATATGTATACATACAAATATATGTACTTCAATACATGTTTTCCATCTTTTTAATCATTTTATGGTATTAATGGTAACAGTTTTATAATTCCTTTTATTTTAATTGATTTGTTGTGTAAAGCTGTTGCGGGAGCAGCAACTCATTAACTAGTTTTATGAATTATCTAGTATCTAGGAAAGAAAAGTGTGTGCTTGTAAATGCTTTAAATCTGATTAAGAAACTTGACTTCTAATGACATTCATTTCGCTTTCAAGTTTTTAAGTAATTAAGTAACCTTCTACGGCTTTTCCTTTATGGAATTATGATTATCGCGTGATATATCTTTATTATCGTCATTGCCGTTGACAATAACAATATCCGCTGTTGCTGGTCGAGAAACTGAAAGTCCATTTTCATTATCGCTACCATTGTCGTCGATTTCATTATCGTTCGCCCCCATACTAACGGGTGTGTACAAATCTTCATCGTAGGTTACGCCATCCATGAAAGTTCGTATTTCATCCAAATAAGAATCCTCGCGATCGGCCTCATTTGACGAAGGCGAATCACTAATTGCTAAACCTAAGCCTGTGGTATCCGCTTCATGTTTCTTTAGATGACGATCTAAATTGGTTTGTTGACCAAAACAGCGATCGCATAAATGGCACCGGAATGGCCTCTCTTTGTTGTGAATGTTGCGTACATGTCTTTGCAAATTGGAAGAGATGCTGAAGGCACGATCACAATATTTACAAGTGTATGGCTGTTCACCGGTGTGGGTTCTTAAATGACGTGTGAGATTCGCAGAGCGAGGAAAAAGTTTACCACAATATATACAAGTATATCGATCTTTCAATTTGTTTACTTGACCAGCGGCTGAGACGCTTCTAGATAGACCACGTAAGGCTTCACGAAAATTTAGTTCGGGCGAAAGCGACTGGTATGGCCTGCAACGTAGTCCGTTATTGTCAGCGACCGGCCGTTCGCCCATTAAACGTAAAAAAGGGAAAGGGCGAGAAAACACACTTTCTAATGCACGTGTTTGATAAAATTCTTCGAGTAGGACGGGATGTAACGGACGTAGACAACTAGGCATCCCAGCGGGTGGTCCGCTATTACTACCGCCTATGCTGGTCGTATCACTGTTGTTGTTATTATTGTTATTGTTATTTGGTGGCGAAGGTGAAGGCGTTGGTCCAGGTGATACTGTGTGCTGTGGACTGCCATTGCATGACTCTGAGTTATATTTTTGTTTCTTTTCATTCGGTTCATAATTTTCATCTGTTTGTAAATCGTTAGCATTTTGTATTAATGGACTGCCGGTGCTATGACTGGATACACTATTTTCATCTGCTTTCGTGGACTGAGGTGAAATACATTTGCGAGTTACGCTCAAATCCAAAGGTAATTCGTTAAATGTGCTCTTAGCCTCTAAGCCGGGATGGGATGGTGAGAGTGACACGATATCAATAGGTTTCTGAAAAGAAAATGAATCATTTAAGCCCTTCTCGGAATCGAACAGATATATATATATTCGCTTACCTTGTCTTCATCGTTCGTTTTGGAAGAGCTTTCGTCTTCATCTACTTCATTATCGCTGCTTTTGATCGTTTCTTCATCTTTGGGCTCCATTTTTAGTTCGATTACGGAATTACTTTCATCCTCATCCGATAAATAAGCAGAATTAGGATTCTTTTTCACTTTACTCGGTTGGGGTGAAATATCCATTAGTTGCACTTTTGCGTCGGTCTGGTTTGGTTTGGGGCTCTCTACTTTTTTAATTAATGTTGGAATGCCAAAAGCCTCGTGCATGGTGAAAGGCAATTGATTATTCGGCGGAGGTGACGTGGGATTATTGAGGTGATTGGCTCCCACCTGCTGTTCCGAACGTACGCTCTGAATACGTTGATCGATAGCAGACTTTGAAAACATCAAAGGAAAATTTGGCGGCTGTGTGGCAGGAGTTTGTGGGAACATGCCTTGCAAGCCATAAGCAGCCGCTGGTGGAAATGTCGGAAAAAATGGTGGATGAAACAAAAAGAATGGATTCGGTGGTGTCGCCATATTGTGAGGCACGTTCGGTACTCCGCTACCGGTTGCTGTACGAGTTTGAGTTGTTGCTGGCGGTTGAGACTGATGATGTAAGGGATGAGACAGTGTCGGCAGTAAGCTCACACCCGAAGGGGGAACGTTTGTAGAACCGCAATACCGTTTGTGTTTTGATAGCGAAGCGACTGAATTAAAACCGCCCTGGCCGCAATTATTACACTTGATCTGTACACGACAATCAGCATGCATGCGTCTATGCCGGCACAAATTTGAAAATTGGGTATATGCTTTTAAGCAGAACTCGCACTGATACAATTTGACCGAATAATGAATATTTTTGTGCTGCTTAAGGCCTGAAGATGTAGCAAACGTTTTGCCGCACTCGGGACACGCGTGACTTCTAGCACCAATATGACGTCTACGAATGTGTCGCTGTAAATTTGAAGGATCACAAAATACCTGCAAATAGCATTGAAGTTATGAAAGAGAAAAGCCTGCGCTTATATGGGCGTGTGTAAAGAGCTACTGAAAGAAACTGACTACTTGTGTCCACGTTATGAAAAACTTAACACTTGAACTTACTTTTAAGCATTTATTGTATGTGAAGACCGCTAGCCAGCCTAAACAGTTAAGCATTGTTGAAGCGAAACGAAATGAAATTAATCAATCAAAGACCACAATTACAGCAACAGCAAATAACAACCGTACAAGATTTTGAATATAATCTAATTTCAAAAATTTAAATTAATGCCATACAAAAAACAAGAAACAACCGTACAGAAACCCTAAGCGGATCTGACATCCACCACGACAAAAGGTACAATCAAAAAAGCCACAAACAATAACAACGACGATTACAAATAATAGAAAAAATAAAAAAATAAAAAAAAGATTACGCAAATGTGAGTATAACTGCGCATACCACCTCCAAGCCGTCACCGATCAATTGTGGCCATCAATTGCTACAATTGTCATTCATTTGTGAGTAATCGTCGTAAAAAAAATAAAAAAAAAAATAACAATAAAAATAAATAAATAAACAAAGCCAAGAGCACAAGCGCAAAAGGAACGTCCGATCATCCATAGCTAACGCTTTAGATATACGTAGACACTGTCTCCACGAATAGAGATCTCGGCGCATATGGAATGGTATAAATCTAGACGTTTACACACAACAGCTATAACCACAGACATAGCCGTGGTTTTACAGACACCACGATTCACTTTTTTTGGTAATTGTGTCTGCCTAATCATGCTGTCATAATGTTAAAGCCAAGAGGTTTCAAATTGAAGCTCTTTATAAGAAGACAATAATCTGTTTTTATTTTATAATCATTTTTTTCCCCATTTTTCCCCCCCCCCCCCCCCCCTTTGCTTGCTGCTTTTTTAAGAGCATTCAAATTTCTGTTGGTTGTTTGGTTGTTGTTGTTACCGTTTTGATTTTGTGAAGACAACAATAAAACACAAGAATGATCGCATAGCTCGTGCTGCTATTACCACATTAAATGGATTAGTTACGACTACTCGCGGTGGTGTTCAATGTAATGACAATTTCGTTGCGGCAGAGAATGAAGTAAAGCGGGTGAGGAATATACGACCAGGAGTGTATGGATATGATGATGAAGGTCTTGCTTCAATTTTTTTCTTTTCTTCTTTTCTTTTTTTTTTTTTTGTAATTTTTTACCATTTTAGTATAGCGATATTGGCGGTGGGTAGGTAGATATTCGAGATGGTTGCATTACATTGTAATTTGTGATGAACAATAGAGAATGCAGTCATGCTGACAATGATGCTAAACTTCTCTGGAAGTTTCTCGAAAATTTTTAACTAAATAGATAGATAGATAACCCAAAATTTATTAACGGAGTTTTACGAACAGAAAGTTTTTATTTTACGTTTAATGCCTTTTTGCAGAGGCGCCTTACTTCCGTTTACTTCTTTCGAAGATGCATCGTGACTTTCGTTCTAATCCCTTTCTTTTTTTTTTTTTTTTATGCTTTAAAAGTCAAGTATGCACCGCTAAGTAGCCGTTGTTGCAATCGTCTCGTTAAGTGAATAATTGATCACATCCGTAAAGAAATTTAAATTCAAAAAGTAAACAAATGCACAAACTGAACGAAGGTCACGGTTACACGGAAGAACTTTCGTTTTTGTGCAACTAAATTTATTCCAGGAGATAGAAGAAGACTTACTTTGAAAAGGAAAATATTGGAAGAGCTGTGGCTTTGACTTTTTACCGAAAAGCCAAAGAAGACGAGGTTTACTCAATATCGGTTGTGACATAGCGCACAAGTAGAGTACTTCTTACGTCTTCTTTACTTGCTTTAAACAGTTGAAAACTTCCTTTGCTCCAAGGAGTCGAATTAATTTACAAACTGTTTTGACCGGTAGTTTAGCGTTATGAATGCAGGCGAATGAGGCGAAACGTCGTTTTGATTTTTGAAGGAGGCCTAAACGACTAGGCACCTTCTCGCCGATAAATGGCATGTAGAAAGAAACTTGAACGCAGAAGCGCAAACTCGGCCATGACCTTTGCAAACAAGCGGCAGAGTCGAAGAAAGAAGCAAAGGGTACGCAACATAAAGTAGCTTCCAATTACTAAATAGATGATATACAAATATACAAAATACAAAGCATTTCGAATGCCTGCAAAATTTTTCCATCTGATGGAAACTTCTGAAACTTCTCAACTCTTGTCTGTTGAACATCATTGAGATGAAAGTCTTTGCGTTTTAAAAATTGATTATTTGAGTGCTATTAGCCATGAGAGAGATGCAAACTCAAACGCTTAAGTTTATAGAAGAACGACGAACTGGGCTTGTATAGCAAAAGGAGAGAGAGAGAGAGAGAGAGAGAGAGAGAGAAAAAAGAAAAAGGAAAACAATTATACATGCTTTTTAACTATTGCATATTCTGACTCACCTTAAGTTTACAAGAAAAAGAAGAAAAAAAAAAGTTCAACTCATTTATGGTCTTTCTTCAACTTGAAGTATTTCTAACATAAAAGAATTTAATCTCGTTAATAAGAATGATCGAACAAATTGATCATCTTGAAAAATTCGTTAAAACCACAACAAATGGGGCAACTGAGGCATAAAAATCTTCATAAAACTGAAAATAGTGTGAACGAAATTAATGCATTTACCAGCGCATGCAGTGCACATGCCATATACCTATAGATATGAATGGATGAATTGACGAGCTAAACACAATCACGACCACAAGAATTATACTAACATAACAACAACAAAAATGAAGTAGATAAAATGGACAACACATCTACCGCAACAATTGCATTCCTTTGGAATTGTGTTAGCATTTCAGCAGTTAACACGGGCCAACTGAGTTTGTTAGGTGACTTGGCTGGCTGGCTGGCTGGCTGGCTAGCTGACTGCCTGACTGACTTGCTGACTGACCAGCATAACTGTTATTCTACTTTCGTTCGTTTTGTATTATATGAAAGGCATTCCACACTTTTTGAAATGAAACGAGAGGCTTTTGGCTACGTTGCTCATTGCCGTTGGTGTTGGAGATGGGGAGGTGATGCGACCAAGAACACAAGACTTTCTTAGATGGCAGAAGGCTGGCACAACTAAGCCATTAACGTTCTCATACTTATAATGTGGAAAGTAATGAGGCTGTTGGTAATGATGATGATAAGGTTTAGAGAAATCACATCTATCTTCACAGTACAATACACAGTAATGTTATTGCAGTTGTAGTAAAAAAAAAAAAAAAATCAAAAGGAATGTCACAGAAAACAAATAACCCCAAAAAGCTGAAAAAGCTTTAAATCTTACGACAGCCGAGCCGTAAATACATCTACAAACTTCTTATAAATTAAATTTCTTACAGAAGAATTCTCAAAATCTTGGAACAAAACGCAAATATTGATAGCGACTAAGTTTTTAAATAAGCGAATCCAGAAGATTCAGGGGAGTATAAATCACAGCAAGTCACGTCGAACATTGTTTGACAACTGGCAGGCGTAGCTCGAAGGTTTATACTTCACATCCCACAGTGAAGAGGGAAATTTTCTACAATAGTCCTTCTTATCTTGGAGCTTTGTTACGATGGAGGTGCCTTCAGTTTCGGTTAAAAACGTTATCAAAAATTAAGTCATTTGCTTGCTTTCCATTAGTCAACCGCTGTATTCTCGCGACAAATCCGGGTTAGCGGTCCAATTAAAAGGCAGATCATTTTTTCCCGATGCCTTGAAAGTCCTTGTCATTAAAGCGGATGCTTCGCTGATAATAAAACCGAAAAAGAAGCAGAGCAAGAAGCTCAAAAGTGAGTTTACGGTTTGAACAAAAAAGACCTTAAGAAGTTGAAACTTGCTAGCATGCGCTGCAAGAAAAATGGTGTCATGGTGGTTGATAGCTGCGGCGCTGTAGAGAGGAAAGAAGAGAAGGCTGCGATTGGGACTCCAATGCTGAGTGAATATGAAATTCAGGCTCCGACTAAGCTCCATCCTCGGTTCAAAGTGACAGATATGAATTTCACATTCATTTGTATGCTGATGACGCTAAAATTTATTACTCGAGCCCACGTGGTGGTGTGGATTACTTTTTGATCCGATCCAAATAGTTTCATAATAAGTTCTATCTAAATCAAAACCATGATCGTTTCACTTGTTACTTGTGATTTCCATTCTTTATTTGTTAGTTCTGTTTCTAGCCTTGGTTTTAAGCTCAACCTTAAGTTGAGTGCCGATCATATCAATTTTACGGTAATGTGTGCTCACAATACTCTAAGGAAATTGTCGTTCTCTTCATTCCATGTTCTCATATTCACTAAGGTGCGATTGCTTAAATGTCTATTAGTACAGGCCATAGTTTTTGGAGACATCGCATATGAGAATTAGTTGCAATAAGTTGCAAAGGGTTGTTAATAACTGTGGCATATATATGTACAATAAACGGAAATAAGATAAAATATCCTTAACCTTACATCAGAAATGTAGTCTTCCTTCACAGGCTCATCCACACTCGAACACCGAGAGGAAATTCGGTTCGCTAAAGGAGAGCAAACGATGAATTCAATCCTGTCTGCCCGCATGTATCTATCATTGTCAATGCTATTTCTTGTTAATGGGGTAAAGTTGTGCAACTCGTTGCCGCTCAGTATTGGAATGGTTGTTAGTTCGAGGGGGTTAAATGTGGCTGTAAGGCGTTTCTACAATTGATAATTACGTCTGCACCTATGTTTTGTTCCTATACTATACAATACAATTATAGCGTCTTAGTGGTTGTTTACAATTGTGCCGTAAGGGAGTTTATAGTCTTATTAGCATTTACATTTTTATTGATTATAATAATAATTATTATTGTATAATTGTATTTTCATTAATGATTGTTGTATTATTAATCAATAAAAAAGTGAACTAAGTCCAAATATTTGTAGATTATAATATATTGTTTTATGTCCCATTCTATTTACTCAAATTCAACCAGCAAAAAAGAGTTCAGAATGCGCCCTACAAGAACAAAGTGCAATACTCGCATGAGCAGCCGAATAGGCAAGAGTTGATACTACCAAGTCAATGATCACGGGATTAAGTCTCAAGTACGATAGAGTTTACTTCGGTCGTAGCTTAGCGAGCTCTCGGTCAGTAACAATTCATAACATTTGCCGTTTGGCGACACATAGACTAAGTTGTTGCCACTACATCCCTGTCTCTTTTTCTTTCCTCATTTCTTTCTAATCTTCACCGTGTTACAAGAATATAGGATCACCTCCACCGACCGACTGGAGGGTAGATCAAATAAATTTTGATTACTTTCACACGCAATGGATAAGAGAGAGAGAGAGAGAGAGAGAGAGAGAGAGAGAGAATGGGGAGAAGAACAGTGGAACAAAAGTATGCAAAAAATATTATTGACGATATAAAAATTGGTAAAGCATGATAGGTATTGTGAGCTGCAACTGCCTTACATCTTTCCCCCTAAGCCAGAAATGGGGAGAAACTCTGAAGAATTTCTTAAGACTTTCAAACGATCATTTGAATGCAATACCCAAAGATATTTGCTTGATTCTTCGAGATAAGCTAAGTATATCAGATAAATTTCCGAATATGCTTACGGTTTGTTCCCTTTCAATAGTACAGGACTGTATGCCATAGAGCAGATATGAAGACCTCCTTGAAGAAAAATCAATTCAATCTGAAGTTCAACTGCTACGAGCTCGACACATACTAACTTTCTAAACCTATTTACCATAAGACAAATAAACCGTAGCGCTTTATTCAATGGAGTGAATGCTATTCAATAAGCGTGAATGAGCATTTTCGAAATTCTTCGTCAAGAACACTTCTATCTGTTTATGTATTATCTATTTTGTTATCATATTTAAGTTAAACTCACCTTCGTACAATTTTCACATGGATATTTGCGCACTTCGTTGTGAACTAAAGCACGATGTTTCAACAATAATGGACGATGAGAAAAACGCTGCGAACACAATTCACATGTGAATTCTTCCTTTCGAAAGTGATGAGCTGTCACCAAATGATCGTCGAGCCTGAAAGTGTACACACGTATAGGTACAAAAGAAAGAACATGCAAGCCATCGAAACTACTTCAAAGTGCAAAATATTTAGTTGTTGAACTAATGTTGTGTTTAAAAACAATAAATGAATAAGTAAATGTAAACATGACAATTTGCTTTGAGGGCCTGCGAATCTAGATTACGTTCGCATTGTTTGACTACAATAAACGGTCTGCTTGCTGAAAAGGATATTATTGCGGTATCCGATACATAAGCGCAGATATAAAAAAAAAAGGAAAAACACAAAAAACAAAAACATGTGCTTTTAAGAGTTTCTCGTGTTTTTACAAGTCCTGTCCCTCTTTTCAGCCTTAAATTAATAACAATCGAGTCTAATTTAACATGTAAAAATCACTTGTTTTCAGTTAATAACAGTGACACATATACTCGACATGGAGAACATCTGCATGTAATGACTCTTCTTTTGTTCCTCTTCGCTTTTGTGTGAAATATGTTTATCATTTGCGTGTCATAAATGAATCAAATTTGTGCATTAAACACTTGCACGAAAACTTTACTACATAGTGAAACCAATTCAGGTACCGAAGTGGTCAGAATGTTGGGTGAAATCCTTCTCTAAAAAAAAAAAAGCAAGTGGGAAAATTATATCCGGTCGTGATCGAATCTTTAAAACCCGTTAGCACCGTTATCTTAAAATAACAAAAAAAGTGAAAGAAACGAATTTTTTTTGGTTTGTGAATTTTTAAAACAAAAGTTTTGTCGCATAGGCATGCGTTATGAAGGTATTGAAAAAAAGATTGCAGCTCGATACACTGTAATATTTGGTAGGCGTGGTAAATTTTTTGCTTTTTTGTACACAAACGCTGCAGCATCGCCCGTAGAATATACGTTCAAATTTTTGTACATTGATGTTCTATCGTTTATGAGTAATGAGCAAAAACCACACTTTTTTCGTCTTTTGAAACACAAAGGTGCTCTCAGTTTGCGTGGCACTGTGGGTGGTTCTGCGTGCAAGAACTTCCAATGTGTCTGGCAAAACCTAAGTCGATAGCTGCATTTTTTCAGTCAGGAGAATGTTTACAATAGACATTGCATAGAAGGACGGACGGACGACCGGACAGACGGTCAGACCTAAATCAACTCAGTAGTAGATGCTGATCAAGAATACATATACTTTGTGCGGTCTCTGAAGCTCCCTTCTGGGCGTTGCAAACACTTTGATAAGATGAACGTCCCCTCACCCTTCGATGACTCGTATGCAAAAGGAATACTAAAGAGTTTTAATAGCCACAATACGGTACTTAGATTAGAACGTTAACCTTATAGGTTGACTGAAATAACTTTATTTAGACGAAATAAACGATAGTAATAAGCATAGAGCATCGCTGCTTCCACCAGATGTAAAGCTACTCTTTTTTGCATATCTCGTTGTTTACCGGTTAGTGCTTATAGGTAAGTTAAATGCTATGGAATATTCCTCAGATCGGCGGTACAATACAGCCGGACACTTCGTACGCAATGAGTTTCTTTCATTCGTTTCTTAGAAATCAATTTTTGAGATTAGTCTAAATTAATCAAAGCTCTGTTCATAATGTCCTTCAAAAAATTATCGTAAAAGCGCATAACGGCTCTGCTCGGAAACGGCGCAAATGAGAAGAACTGGAGGCATTAAACAAATTTGAGAAGATGAAGAGGATTTTTTTGAATGCTATAAAATATTATTATTATTATTGAAGATATTATTATTATTATTATTATTATCATTATTATTATAAATTTAGCCGGAGAATAAATTCTAAGACTAACGTCTTAAAGCACTAGCATCTAAGGATTTCGGCTTTATTAAAAAGTCTACCGCACTTGAGATTTGAACCCACGACCTTTTACTTGCTAGTCGAGACTTTTGCCTATTCGGGCACTCAGGCGGGACTTGAAGATAATTAAAGCACATGCGTTTTCAAAACTGCACTCCACTCGTTTTCGATATAACAGGTTTCTAAGTTTACAAGTTATCCGAAGTTTAAGGTAAGTAAGAGTATTATAGTCGGGCAAGACCGATTATTGGATACCTTATGGCTAGTAAAGCTAGTCACTTATTTTTGTTTATTAGCAATAATTTTCATGCAAAGGCATACTTTTCGTGAAAGCCCGTACATTGGAGCAAATTCAATTTACTTTTCGAAAAGTTTATTACTTTTAAGTTTTCGTCATAAAAAACTACAAATCAGGCTTTCTCTCCTTACAATGGCTCACTTTTCATGATAGCTCATACGTCGCGGTAGAAATAATAGACTTATGTGTTTCAAATTCCTTACCATTAACTATTTTTTTTAAATAACTATCGTGAAAAGATTTCATAAGCATCGTAAACGATTGAAAATTAAGACTTTTTGGCATATAAGGGATTACGTTTCATGAGAATCCTTATATGCGGTGGTTTCCAAAAAATAGACTTACTTCGTCCAAATTCGGTAAGGTAGATTTCTTTGTCAATTTACTATTGTAAAGTACCACAAAATATAAAAAATTATAATTTTTACCAAGCAAAAATTCAGTTATTGTAGGGAGTTTCCCCGTCCGGACCAAATTTTCCCAATTTAGAATGTTGAAGTAGTATTACTCCGGGAGTTCTATCGAGAAATCTTGAAAATTGCATTTTTTTCCGCATAAGGATTTTCCACAATAAGACGTTATATGCCAAATGGGAAATAGTCGCAAAAATGAAGCCGATCCGATGCATTTTCAAGAGTTCTCGTCTTCGGGTCAAAATAAGTCCGTGTAACATATTTCATCAGAATATCTAGAGAACTATGACCTGTAGGTTGAATACAAGAAAGCAAGACAGACGGAAGGTCAGAATGTGTTTCTGAATCGATAGGTATAGTGAAAGGTCCTCGCCTAGTAACTCAGTGGTCGTGGGTTCAAATCTCAAGCGCCGTACAGTTTTCAATAAAGCCGAAAGCCTTAGATACTAGTGCTTTAAGTCTTTAGTCTTGGAATTTATTCTCTGACTGAACTAATAATAATAATAAATATTGTTATACCCTACACCATTTGTGGTACAAGAGTTTATTAATTAATTATGAAGATCTTCAAAGACGCGCCTCTTTTTAAGACCGATCGAATAGGTTTCGGTCCGTTTATCTAGCTGTTAGCCTTGTTTTCTCCTGTTACACCTAAGGGCCTCAATTTTTGACATATTTTGATGAAATTTTGTACACTAACTGTACTTTGGCCTTTGGGATCGGATTACTTTCCACAATTGACTAATTTAGGTTATTTGCTTTGAATATTTGTTTAAAGGCGAAGAGCAATTATTTTTGTTGGCACAAAATGCTTCCATGCGTCATTGCGCTTCTACTATACAAAACTCTAAATGATCGTGCTGCAGAAAGGACTAACTCAATTTATCGCCATTTCGGCAAAAAGCAAAAACCTGATGCACTATTTTGATTTTCTCTTTTGAAAGGGCACTTTTGAAAGCAGTTGCTCCACGGTTATGCACACTACCCATATAAGGCTAAGTGGTGAGAAACGCATGATCAAAAAGATGGTTCATATATTTCTAGATCTAAATGGGGGAATGATGTGTTGAACGAGTATGTTTTTCATTTTGATTTTTTGCAAAACTTTTTTTCTCTTGCCTCATTGCAGCGGCTGCTGTAAAATCCTAGATAAAGCTTTTGCTAACTCCGATCGTTTTTGGTAAGTTTTCATATTGAAATCTTTTCCTTTTTCAAGTTCTAACAAATTATTGTCGGTTAACAAAATTAGCCTTAAAACATTCCTTTAATTAATAACCAGTAATAAGAAATATTTACTCGAATAATTGTTTAATTGATTAATAAGTCACGGCAGATATCCTAAAGTGATTTCGATGACACGTGAATGACAAATCATAATTAACAGCATTTGAAAGTTACGAACAGAGAGAGAAAAAAAAAGCCAACGACTAAAGTAATTAGCACTTATATATACATGAGTGTGTAAGATAGACCCTCTTAAGCTTTAAGAGTTTTAATTACTACCTTGGGGACTTGAAAATTTTTTTTTTAAAAAAAAAAAAAAAAAAAAAAAAACAAAATACAAATCAGAAAAAAAAACCTAACGTCAAGATGGAGTTTTTTGTTGCATTTGTTGTCATGCTAACGTAAATAAATCATTAAGTTCGGTTTAATATTTACTGACAGATTATTATTATTGACACTCGCTGTTTAGATTGCATAAATCACTTACCTTTCTAACTCTAAAAAATCTTTTTCACAAACTTCGCAACGTATATCAAAACCTTGTTCATCATCACTTAAGTCAGCTTCAATATGATCCAATAGTTTATCTTTTTTATTATAATCATCGTCACGTGTTAAATTTGAACTATATAACGAACCTGAAAACATTAAAATTTAAGTTAAATTTGTTGTTAATATTTTTTCTTCCTTTTTTTTCTTTTAGTTTCATTTTAAAATTCATTTCGTAAATTATTTTTCGTTAATGCATTTTTGTTTCTTTGCTTTTTTTGAAATTTTTTTAAATTTTTATAAAAAAAACTTGTCTTTATATTGTCACAACCGACCTCTTCCGTTTCCGTAAAACAAGTGTCTCTTTCGTATTTAAGTTAAAGCGTCAAGTGTCCTTTTGACAAAGCTACCTTTTTTCTAATAATGTTACGACTTTTTAACCAAAATTAACATACACACATAGATTTTAAGTTAACATAGCACATATATAGGACAATAGGCAATGCAAAGCAGCGAATAGATAATTGACTCTTTAATGTGTGTATTTGAGAAATTATTGTGCCTGAGTGTAAAAGTAGAGGTAAAGAATATATGGACACAGGGACACACACCACCCTTGCACACCTGTATCTTTCTATTTGAAAATACTTGAAAATTTTTTTGATTTCCAGTTAACCGATTGTTTAGCCGAAGCAATGCAACAGACTTCACATTTGACTTAACTATGAATTCAATCAAAAGACCAAAAGTTAAATATTGCAGTAGTTTAACATTTGATGGCCCGAAATTCACCCTTCTTTTGAATGCATTGCATGTGAATAATTTTCAAGTTTTATATAAAAAAGGGATGATAACGATGTTGAAGATTACAATACATACGCAGTAGGAGCGTAACAATTCCACGTTACGCTGGACTGATTATTAAGCCAATATTGCACCTTCGGTGTTTCGCATATATTTGCTACAAACAGTGCTCTCGAATAAAACGCAAACTAACACAGGTGGTCATACGAAAAAGGACTTTCAAGTGATTGTCTGTCTCGACGAACATGCGATGGTGTGCTAAGAAGTGGTGGTGAATAGTGCAATATTAACCTTACAAAACTCCCGCAATATTTGACTTATTTGGCTCTCATAATTAACGTATGCAGCCAGAGTTAAAGTCGGAAGAAAAAGGTTCTTTTTTTTTTTTTTGTTAAAGAAATATTAAAATTTCTCAAAATTCTATAAAGTATTGAAGCAACCTCTTTTGCTATCTGAGCGAAAACATAAGTTTGGGAATATTATCTTCGGAAGAGCAAGTGACAGAAGACCTCATCCTACAGAATTGTCCCCTCACCCAATACGCGGCCATGCTGTGACAATGTTGCGCCGTCTATAGCAAGTCTGAAAATATGAAAATGACGTTACTTTATCAAATACACTGGTTATATTTGAATTTCCCATGTGCAAGCGTTATCTTCCAGTCGTTTCCATCTTTGAAAAAGTCGAGTTCTATGCCCAAAAGGCACGTATTCTGAATATGTGAGCAATTTTTGTTGAGTCATTATGGTTGAAAACACTATCGGAAGGACAAAAAGCAATCGAAACATTAATGTCGACTAAACATAAATACCTTGCGAAACGCTATTTAGAGGGATTAGTCGGAGGAAAAGTATTATCAGCTGCTTAAACCTGGCGAGACTATCATTGTAGGATGCCAACAAAAACTAGCGGAATTATTAAAGCAAAGACGATCAGTTCAATGTATACGGGAAGATATTGTGAAGTGATTTTTCAACAGACTTATAGCCTTATTTTACAAAGTCGATCCCAGCCGAACCGAACATTCCTAGTTGGCTTTAACTTTGGTTTCAGTCGATGGCTTAGCGTATGTTCGAAAAAGCCTTGCATTCTTATGACAATGTCTAAAAAGTTAATCCTTTTGTGGGTAACGCTAAAACACCAGTTATAGCAGGAAAGATGAACATAAGAGGCATCCTCAACAATGAAAAATACGAAAGTAGCAACTATCTCCTATCTTTCTTCCAAAATCAAATTTATCCTTACTTCTAGCACACGCTCTATAATGATTGCTTTTCTATTATTTCAGGCATGTTTTTTTCACTCTCTACACGATTTATTCCCCCCTCGTTGGTGTAACGAACACAGAGTTGCTTTGATAATGTGATTTTAATTCAATTATTTTACTCGATTTTTTTCATATCTGCTCTCGAGTACTTTCCACTTTAAACTACTGTACATAAGCGAGCTTGTTCGCTAATAAAATATTGTGTGTTCCCGTGTGTTTATAATTCGCATTCAGTGTATTTCTGCTAACGTGTAATTTTTGCTTTCAATTGTTCGGCTTGTGTTGTTGCTATTCATTTGCAACTATACTTTATGTTTAAAAGATTCAACGATTCTGGCCTCTACTCTGTACCATGCCCTCTCGGTGAAATCTATTTACATAGTTCCTAAATATTGAACACATCACTCACAACAAGTTTTCATTCTAACACATATAAGGCAAAATTGTTGGCAGGCTTTTGACATATGACTCCTGGATAATAGTAACATTTAAACGACAAGTTTTAAAATTTCATGACAGTCTGACAATTAGTTTAACGATTACAATGGTTTTAGTGATACTACTTTGGGTATTTTCGAAACATTGTGCAGCTCTCAATGTCGTTTATGGGTTAAAAGTTAGTTTTTAACGGGGAAAAATGCCATTATCAATCGGCATTGATCATTCAAACATCTTATGGCGACTTTTGTCTGGTGGAGAATTCAATTTTGGTTGTTCAGCTAATTTTGCATAAAGTTGTAAGGAGATCGCTGATGTTTAACAAGCAGACGAGTGGACAATAACTGGCAAAAGCCATTCAAAGCGACCAAGAAGGTAGGTTGGGAAAGTGATGGGGTGGGGAAAGTCATTGGTTCCTTATTATGGGAATCACATGGTATAATCTTCAGCGATCGAAGAGGGGCAAGGTATCAGTGGTGCGACAATATTTTGGAAAAACGTTACTATTTTCAAACATTTCCACCGAAAAACGGTAAACAGTGGTCTTTCGGTATACTAATTGAAGGCGAAAAATTTCCCTCACGATTTGCTTTTAGGAAAACATGGCTCTTTTATACCTACACAATAGATGCTGCTAGCGCTCCCATTCACGTTTTAAGAATTATTTTTTAAAATTTAATGTAAACTATTTGATAGGCATATAGTATATCAATATTTGAATTGTATATAGTATATCAATCAATAATATCTTGCTTGTCATAGCACTAATCATAGGATACTATCTTCGCTTTATCTGGCAAGTAAACCGTAGCAAAAAACGCTATAGAACACGATAGCGTGGCGCGGCTTACTGGTAAATACACTACGCGAGTACACTCAATACAGTTATTTACATAACGGCTTTGCCAAATAAGGCGTTATATGGGAAACGGTCTGATGCGAATCATTTTCAACAGCGTTCGTCTTTGGGGCAAAACATGTCTGGGTACCAAATTTCATTAAAAAATCTCAAGAATTGCGACCTGCAGGTTGAAAAAACCAAGACAGACGGACGGACTGACAAGGTTAGCGAAAGGAAAGGTATAATAAAAGGTGGGTTAAGTTCTTCTGAGTTTGGCATACATCCGCACAAACTTAATACACCCTTGGAATGCAAGTGGTGCAGGCTATGATTATTGATCCCAATAACAGAAATAGTCTTAGCCTCAAATATTCAGCAAACATGAGTATGAGTTAAATGGTTATGAAACTATTATTTTTTAAATTGTTATTGCGTAGAAAATAATTGAAAAACGCGAAATGGAAAATATAAGTTTTTCTTCTTTACAAGTAACCAAGTAGAGGAGGAGAGGATGTGCAAAATTTTACGCCCAAATTAGCAAAAGGAAAAAACTTTTTTCATTGTTACGTTCTAGTTGACTTTTCCTGATCATCCAAATTGATTGATTAATAGTTAAGTTTTTTTAGATTGGATCTGCTGCTGCTGCTTTTTTTCTCTCTTAATCATTTCATTAAATCTAAATTACAATATTTAACCCTTTCCTGTCTTCTGATTGAAAATCTTTTGCAATTTTTTCAATCTATTATTATTTTTAGTTCTAAAGCACACGCATATGTTTACCTTGTGTGATAAATGATTCATCATATGTGCTCAGTATGTCAAACATGTTACTCCGTCTATTGATGATAATGTTGTTAATGTTACTGTTATTGTATCAAAGATCAATGGTAAAAATTGCATTGTATTATAGATGTTTGCGTTGTCGTGATATCAAATGCCCTGCAGATAATGATGACATGTGCCTCCGTTTCACGGTAAACATATTGTTTTGTCATCATCACCATTTTTTCTTCATTTTCATAGAAGCAGTCAGTCAGTCAGTAGCAACAAAAAGCGACAAAAAATAGTTACTGGTTTTCAATTCTTTTTTTTTTCTTTTTTTTTTTTTTTTCTTTACGTTCTTTAGTTCCACTACTAAAAATGATTGATTATATAGGTGTACGTGGTACGCGGCTTCTATTTTCAATGTAATTATTCTTGTTTTTATGTCATTTTTCTGTTTTTTGTTTGCCTCTTTTCTCAATTCTAATAAATGAAGTGAAGAAATTCAATGCATAATGAAGGAAAGAGTTGTTGACAGATTGCATACACAAGAGTTTGTATATAATCAGTACTTAAGCTGGTTTAGAATGTATTGATATATGCTCGCATGTATTCAATAGATTTACTGGCTTGTGCTGATTCAATGCCTTTTAAGCTCTAATCTGGATATTAGAAAGCGAATATGTATATTAACTTTATCGACAGTAGGTATAAAAATACCGATCGCAAGAACCTAGTTATTCTTGAGTGACGTAAATGTGGCTATTTACGTCTCGCTATTTGTTTGCTACATACGCTGGTTTTACACCCACGAAAAGTAAGATAAAAACAAAATTTTGATTAGCATCTTTATTAACGTAACATGCTCTACGCCTTACGCAGTTGCTGCAAACCAATAACGCTTCTACGAAATACAAGGTTGATGGATTAGTTCTCTTACTCCACCAAAAAAAATGTTACTAAAAACACAAACGCTGTCCTAATTATCAAACTAGCTTCTTTATAAGAAAGTCTATCTATCCCCCTGAATGGCCGTA